TCTATGTGTGTGTGTGTGTGCGTGTGTGCGTACGTGTGTGTTTGTGGGGGCGGTTGTCTATGAGTGTGTTTTGTTTTTTTTCCTGTTTTTTGTGTTTTTCATTTTTTTTTAACATACATATGAACTTTAAAAATAAAAATAAAAAATGGGTTGTAGATCTCGAAAAGATCTGCAACCTTATATTTTTTTTAATTTTTTTTATTTATTGGCTGCCTACCAAACAATCTCCGTGAAAAAAAAAGAAAAACCCACTCATTTCATCTTCTTTTTTTGGTTTTTTCTTTCTTTTTACGTTTTTGATTTTTTAAAAATATAGAAAAACTTCAAAAAATAAAATAAAAAGCATAGGGTTACAAATCTCAAAGAGATCTACAACCCTATATTTTTTGTTTTTTGTTTTGAGCATTTTTTACCCCCCAAAAAAATATCCTCGCGCCCGCTCAAACCCCGCTCAAGGCGCTTTGAGCGTGGGATTGAGCGGCGCTCAAAATCTTTAGCGCTGACCGTGCGCTCAATCAGCGCGCGGTTTCACAGGATTGAGGAACTGAAGAGACAACGGAAGATTAAGAAACTACGAGCTAAGGAAGAGGAGCGAGAAGCCATGGCAAAAGTTGTCGAAGTACAAGTGGCACTTCGCTTCGGCAATATGGATGAGAAGTGGGACGAACGACTCAAGAATGCGGTTCGGAACGTCCTTTGGGAAAGTCAAGCGAACCAGAAAGGTAAAGCCAAGGCGGTCGAAGCCATCGCATCTACATCGGGAACCACGGGTGAAACCCATGAAGTGGAAGAAGTGACGAGGGGTACGGAATGTCTGGTGATTGCCAAGAAACGTAAATGTGGTGAAGAAACCTCGGTTGGGAACAACCCACCGGTGATTACTCCGACAAAAAGAGTGACTCGTAGGCGACAGTGCATCTCCTTCGGCTCGCAGAGAGGCTTCGTCCGAGACACGGACCCCTGAAGAAATCAGGGCGCCTGGCACTGAAGGCCATGACGACGGTAAAGCCCGTGGCAAAAGACAATACTATCGAGCGCATGCAGTTCTTGGAAGCAACTCGGCGCGACCTGATACCGATACATCACGATGAGATTCGAGCAATCTGCGGCAAGGAAGGTATTCCATACAAGACCAAGCTTCAGGCTATTTTTTATATAGCCGATCGTTGTGCAGAGATCGAGTACGGAGGGCAACACCGTGGAAGCGGAATCATTAACCTGGAATCTGAAACTGGAGATGACTCTCAGGAAGACGAAGAACCCGTGGGGGAGTGAAGTCCGACATTATTTGTGACGCTCTGTCACTTGTGTGAAGTAGTGATATCGTATTGCAAGCAGTTCCGTTACACTAATTCATATATGGAGGAGTTATACCGCTTGATCATAATTTGGCTGACTCTAGTCGGTAGCATCCACTAGCTAGAAAAGTGTA